ACTTTTGTGGGACACTCTTCTGGGACACTCTTGAAGGACACTCTTGTGGGTCACTTGCAGGACACTCTTGTGGGACACTCTTGTAGGACACACTTGTGGGACACTCTTCTAGGACACTCTTGTGGGACACTCTTGTGGGACAGTCTTGTAGGACACTCTTGTGGGACACTCTTGTCGGACACTCTTGAGGGACACTCTTGTGAGACACTCTTGTGCGACACTCTTGTGGGACACTCTTGTGGGACACCCTTATAGGACACTCTTGTGGGACACTCTTGTGGGACACTCTTGTAGGACACTCTTGTGAAACACTCTTGTGGGACACTGTTGCGAGACACTCCTGTGCAACACTCTTGTGGGACACTCATATGGGACACTCTGTGGGACACTCTTCTGGGACACTTTTGTAGGACACTCTTGTGGGACACTCTTGTTGGGCATACTCTTCGTACGAGACTTCCTCCAAAAGTCACGCTGCGAGGCTGCAAGACGAGCGTTTCGTATGAGACTTCCTCCAAAAGTCACGCGTCAAGTCTCAAAAACGAGCATTTCGTACGAGACTTCCTCCAAAAGTCACACGTCAAGTCTCAAAAACGAGCATTTCCTACGAGACTTCCTCCAAAAGTCACACGTCAAGTCTCCAAAACGAGCGTTTCGTTCGAGACTTCCTCCAAAAGTCACACGTCAAGGCTCCAAAACGAGCGTTTCGTACGAGACTTCCTCAAAAACTCACATGTCAAAGTCTGCAAAACGAGCGTTTCGTACGAGACTTCCTCCCAAAGTCAAACGGAAACACCCATCGGAGCACACCCATCGCGCATCCCTGCCAAGCAGTTTCGCGATTCCAGCCCCTCCAAACAACCTTCGCTCACACGCCAATCCCAATGTGACAGCGACATTCACCTCTACCACAACTCACAACCCCACGATTCCCTGCGCCTGCCACGAATCTTTCCGCGTCCACACGTCTAACGCGCACAAAGTCCTGTGCCTGCCACGAAATGTCACCTCCGTCACACCTCGCAACCTCACGATTCCCTGCGCCTGCCACGAAACTCGTACTTCCACGCCTCAAAACCCGCACAAAGTCCTGCGCCTGCCACGAAAAGTGCCAATATCATCTCATGTGAGCTTCAACAAAATTTGCACCACACCACACGTTTGGAATGATTTCGACCCGTTGTGAGCACACTCCCATCCACCAAAATCACCATTTCAGCTGAGACTTGTCACGAAAACAGCGCTTCGATGCCACACCCTCACACGCAAATCCCAATGGCGCGGCCACATCCAACACCCCAAAAACACGACTCTCCAAACGCTAATCCCAATGGAACTGCGCAGCAATCTGCAGATCTCACAAAACGCTGCGCCTGTGCAGCGAAGTGCATCACGTTTCTTGCCCGACATGTCCGTGTCACGCGAAGCACAATGGAATAGCGGCGCAAACTGACACGTGACACATCCATGCAAAGTCACTTGCAAAAGCTTCCCCCAATGGCAGCAAATTTGAGACGCGACGACGACGACACGACGACGAGAGACGACGAGAGACGACGACAGACGACGAGAGACGACGAGAGACGACGACAAACGACGACACGATGCAGGCCATGCAAACACATGTCCAACCCCCACACCCCCAACTATAAACGGGAACCCTTCGCTATTCGGGAACAAGAACAGGGTATGCGGTTACTACAGAATACTACAAGAATCGTTTGGGGACCGATCTTCCTGGCCAAAACTGTCGCCGAAGCTTTCGCAGCACACTTTCCCCTAGAATCGTCCTGGAATGCCGCTCCGTGGTGCTTTCCATGTTTTCGGGCTTTGGAATGGGCTGTCAGAAATGGAATACAATGCTTTCTTCCTTCCCGCCCACCCCACTGTAGACTCCCTTCTCCAGCGACTCCGTGCGGAGCATGAGGCTGGTGACGGAGGCGAGGAATTCGCAGCAGCTTTGGACCATCAGCGGCTTGGATGGCACAAGCTTTCAGCTCCCCGTGGATGAGACAGCGAAGGTGGCTTGGATGGCATAGAGGTCACAAAAGCTAAAGGATTTCCATCTACCCGACAAAATTTCCGGATATGGGTTCTACCTGGTCTCCCTGAGCTTGGCAATTGTCCCAGATAATTTCTCCAAAGAAGGGGAGGCTCAGGCTCCTATGCCCAATAGATTCCAACAGCATACCTTGCAGGGGTGGCGACACTCACACTTCTCTAACCCAACTAGATGGAGGCAAGTACCTATAAGATCAAGGTACTCGTAGCAACAACCATCGGCTGACCTCACATTCTTTCAGTAGCCTAGATTTGATTCTTTCTATTCACAGATTTTAAATCTGTAAGGTGGACGACCTCTCCAAGACCATCGCAGGAAGAATCGGCATGAGGGCTGGTGGAAAGCTTGTTCTTTTTGCAGGTGGCCAAATCTTGGAGGACTCATCCAAGCTTTTGCAGCAAGAAGCGTGCGGACGAGAGATCTCATATGTCGTTCGACAGGTTTGCGCACTGGAGGCAGCGATTGGGTTCCAAAGGGCCCTTGCAGAGGGAACAAGAGACCATGCGCATGCGACAGTGACGGGTGCAATTGCCTCAATTGCCTTCGACAACGGATTCAAGCAGAGCTTGGAAGGTGTCACCTTCCCAAGCAGCCTGCAGGCTTTGACCTTCGGCTACAACTTCAATCAGAGCTTGAAGGGTGTCATTTTGCCAACTAGTCTGCAGACTTTGACTTTCGGCGGCAGCTTCAACCAGAGCTTGGAAGGTGTCACCTTGCCAAGCAGCCTGCAGACTTTGACCTTCGGCCGGGAATTTAACCAGAGCTTGGAAGGTGTCACCTTGCCAAGCAGCCTGCATACTTTGACCTTCGGCTGCAACTTCAATCAGAGCTTGAAAGGTGTCATTTTGCCAAGCAGTCTGCAGACTTTGACCTTTGACCAGAGTTTAGCAGGTGTCACCTTGCCAAGCAGCTTGCAGAATTGGACCTTCGGCCAGAAATTTCACCAGAGCTTGGAAGGTGTCATCTTGCCAAGCAGCTTGCAGACTTTGACTTTCGGCTTTTGCTTCAACCGGAGCTTGGAAGGTGTCACCTTGCCAAGCAGCCTGCAGACTTTGACTTTTTTTCATGAATTTATCCAGAGCTTGGAAGGGGTCACCTTTCCAAGCAGCCTGCAGACTTTGACCTTCGGCGACATGTTTAACCAGAGTTTAGGAGGTGTCACCTTGCCCAGCAGCTTGCACACTTTGACTTTCGGCTGCCGGTTCAACCACAGCTTGGAAGGTATCACCTTGCCAAGCAGCCTGCAGACTTTGACCTTCGGCCGGGATTTTAACCAGAGCTTGGACGGGGTGACGTTGCCAAGCAGCCTGCATACTTTGACCTTCGGTGACACCTTCAACCAGAGCTTGGAAGGTGTCACCTTGCCAAGCAACCTGCATACTTTGACCTTCGGTGACAACTTCAACCAGAGCTTGGAAGGTGTCACCTTGCCAAGCAGTCTGCATACTTTGACCTTTGACCAGAGTTTAGAAGGTGTCACCTTGCCAAGCAGCCTGCTAGCTTTGACCTTCGGCCAGAGCTTTAACCAGAGCTTGGAAGGTGTCATCTTGCCAAGCAGCTTGCAGACTTTGACTTTCGGCTTTTCCTTCAACCAGAGCCTGGAAGGTGTCACTTTGCCAAGCAGCCTGCAGACTTTGACTTTCGGCTGGTGTTTCAACCAGAGCTTGAAAGGTGTTATCTTACCAAGCAGCTTGCAGACTTTGACCTTTGGCTGGGAATTCAACCAGAGCTTGAAATGTGTGATCTTGCCAAGCAGCCTGCAGACTTTGACCTTCGACTACACGTTCAACCAGAGCTTGGAAGGTGTCACCTTGCCAAGCAGCCTGCAAACTTTGACCTTCGGCGACGCGTTCAACCAGAGCTTAGATGGTGTCACCTTGCCAAACAGCCTGCAGACTTTGACCTTCGGCAGGTGGTTCAACCAGAGTTTGGAAGGTGTGACCTTGCCAAGCAGCCTGCAGACTTTGACCTTTGGGCAAGGCTTTGACGTGAGTTTAGAAGGTGTCACCTTGCCAAGCAGCCTGCAAACTTTGACCTTCGGCGACGCGTTCAACCAAAGCTTAGAAGGTGTCACCTTGCCAGGCAGCCTGCAGACTTTGACCTTTGGTGACTTTTTCAACCAGAGCTTGGGAAGTGTGACCTTGCCAAGCAGCCTGCAGACTTTGACCTTCGGCAGCCGGTTCAACCAGAGCTTGGAAGGTGTGATCTTGCCAAGCAACTTGCGTGAGCTTGGCTTGCCAGAGTTCAATGTGTGCATTCATCACTGCGTCTTTTAAGTCATGTGCCAGCCGCTTTCTGACAAACAGGTGCTCCAACGAAAGTCTTCAGGATCTTCAGGGGACACGTCATGATCACGGACTATGAATATTGCCGTGCAGATCTGTATATATGTAAAGGACTGTGAAGTGTCAAGGGATCATGTGGAATTCTTCACCCATTTTTCCCGAATGCGTAGCGAAGGGTTCTCGTTTAACTCTTTGGGGGTCTGGGGGTAGAGCCTTGTTCGCGACCCGTTGTTTCTACGTCCGCAACCGTCCGCAACCGTTCGCAACCGTCCGCAACCGTTCGCAACCGCCCGCAACCGTTCGCAACCGTTCGCGCTAGAGCGCTAAGGCGCTGCCATTGGGGGAAGCTTTTGCAAGTGACTATGCATGGATGTGTCACGTGTTAGTTTGCAACGCGAGTCCATTGTGATTTGCGTGAAAATGACACGTCGCGCAAGAAGCGTGATGCATTTCGCTGCACAGGCGCAGCGTTTCGTGAGATCCGCAGTTTGCGTCGGATTGGCGTTTGGAGAGTCGTGTGTTTGGGGTGTTGGATGTGGCTGTGTCATTGGGATTTGCGTTTCAGGGTGTGGCATCGAAGCTCTGTTTTCGTGACAAGTCTCAGCTGAAATGGTGATTTTGGTGGATGGGAGTGTGCTCACAACGGGTCGAAATCATTCCAAACGTGTGGTGTGGTGCAAATTTTGTTGAAGCTCACATGAGATGATATTGGCACTTTTCGTGGCAGGCGCAGTACTTTGTGCGGCTTTTGAGGTGTGGAAGTGCGACTCTCGTGGCAGGCGCAGGGAATCGTGAGGTTGCGAGGTGTGACGGAGGTGACATTTCGTGGCAGGCGCAGTACTTTGTGCGCGTTAGACGTGTGGACGCGGAAAGATTCGTGGCAGGCGCAGGGAATCGGGAGGTTGTGAGTTGGAGGAAGTCTCGTGCGAAACGTTCGTTTTGCAGACTTTGACATGTGAGTTTTTTAGGAAGTCTCGTACAAAACGCTCGTTTTGGGGACTTGACATGTGACTTTTGGAGGAAGTCTCGTACGAAACGCTCGGTTTGTGACTTTTGGAGGAAGTCTTGACGAAACGCTCGTTTTTGAGACTTGACGCGTGACTTTTGGAATAAGTCTCGTACGAAAAGCTCGTCTTGCAGCCTCGCAGCGTGACTTTTGGAGGAAGTCTCGTACGAAGAGTGTGCCCTACAGGAGTGTCCGACAAGAGTGTCCTACAAGGGTGTCCCACAAGAGTGTCCTATCCCACAAGAGTTTCCTACAAGAGTGTCCCACAAGAGTCTCCTACAAGAGTGTCCCACAAGAGTGTCCCACAAGAGTGTCCCGTATGAGTGCCCCCACAAGAGTGTCCCACAAGAGTGTCCCGCATGTCCCACAAGAGTGTCCTACAAGAGTGTCCCACAAGAGTGTCCCGTATGAGTGTCCCGCAAGAGTGTCCCAGAAGTGTGTCCCACAAGAGTGTCTGACAAGAGTTTCCCATAAGAGTGACCCACAAGAGTGTCCTACAAGAATGTGCAACAAGAGTGTCCCGTAAGAGTGTCCCACAAGAGTGTCCTACAAGAGTGTCCCACAAGAGTGTCCTACAAGAGTGTCCCGTAAGAGTGTCTCACAAGAGTGTCTCACAAGAGTGTCCCACAAGAGTGTCCCCCCAAATGAGTGTCCCACAGGAGTGTCCCACAAGAGTGTCCCGCAACAGTGTCCCGCAAGAGTGTCTCACAAGAGTGTCCTACAAGAGTGTCCCACAAGAGCTTCCTACAAGAGTGTCTCACAAGAGTGTCCCACAGAGTGTCCCATATGAGTGTCCCACAAGAGTGTCCCACAAGAGTGTCCCTTAAGAGTGTCCCACAAGAGTGTCCTACAGGAGTGTCCCACAAGAGTGTCCCACAAGAGTGTCCTACAGGAGTGTCCCACAAGAGTGTCCTACAAGAACTTCCTACAAGAGTGACCCACAAGAGTGTCCCACAAGAGTGTCATTTGGACATATGTAGCTTTTCGAACGTGTTTGCATTCGGGTTCGTGGGCTCCATCTTGTTTTCTACTACCAGAAACATGGGAGGTGAACGGCTGCTCACGAACCCACCAATACCATCCAATTGAGCGAAAAAACACGATTTTGGGTTGCTCTACGTGGCCTTTACTTTGCCTCTCAATTCCAAAATATATGGACCCAAGTGAACCGCATGAGCAATTACCAGGAGAACCCTCATAGTTCTGGACAATTGCTCATTGATGTTCATTGTTCGTTTTCAGGGAACACTATGATCTGGAGATCTCTTTGCGGAGTTCGAGTGGCGTGGCTGAAGACCTGCACGGATCCGAAGAACTCAGAACTGAGAAAACCCAGCGAACATCTTCAGGATCTTCGCTTGGGACATGTCATCATCACAGACTTGGCGCCGGTGACCAGTCATGTTCGTTTTCAGCGTCCGGTGCCATGACAGGACACGACAGGACACGACGCCGGGTGCCCCAGCGGTGTGTCGCCGATGAGAAACCACCGAAGTGCGGGTGGCCTGGCTCGAGAGGTTTCGACACGTGTCGCCACTTAATCCACCAAATGTGGATATACACAAAAATTTATCAACTCTATCTAAACCTCCCTCAGAGTTGGAGAGGTACCCCAAACATTTTGTCATATATGTGAGGAACC